CCCAAACTCCGTTTTAATTTTTGAAAATTCTGTTTTTTCTGTTTTAATTTTGCGGATTCTGTTTTTTTTACCCTTTACTGTTATTTCAGTTGTAAAAAGAATGTGCTTTTAATGGTAATGATTAAAATGTACACAAATAAATAGGAATTACCTTAAATTTCTTGAGGTAAAAAAAAAACACATTTACTCAGTACTTTTACAGCATGATGCAACATAACACTGTACTAAGTACTAAGTATTAACAAAATATTAATGGTTATGAACCAATTGTTATAAATAAAATTGCTCCATTAGCTTTTTCAAGTAAAAAAATAAAATAGGACCTCTCAATTGTCATCATGTAACAGACAATCCTTGTGAGCTAACTTTCTTCATTTAAGCTTCCCATCTACTGTATCAGAAACATCACCATTGAAATACATGATTGCCAGCCTCTCTGTATTGAGTTCAGTGAGTGTCTCTCTCTTGTCTGTGAGAAGAGTTTTGTATTTGTTGAAGCTCCGTTCACAATCAACTGAGCTGACTGGGAAGTAGATGAAGGCCACAGCCATCTCTGCAACTCTTGGGAATCTTGCACTCAGGCCTCTCCAGTAGTTTGCAAGCTCCATATCAGTTGGCAGGGGGTCCCTGGAAACACCTTGCTGATAGGCCAACCACTGCTCACTGAACTCTGCTGATGGGTTTGCAAGGGGCTTCAGTGTTGAATAGGCTTCAATTTGCTTTTTCATTGCTGAAGCCTGCCTGGGATCAAACACCCAGGCCATCCTGTACACATCTCTAGCTGGATGTGTGTCCCAGTGCTTTGAGTACTTTGTGAAAGCCAAACGAAAAGCATCATAGAGATTGTCCAGCACGTCCTTCTTCTCTTGAAAACTAATTTTTTCGTTATTGTACTTCTCCTCCTCACATGGATTTTGGATGACAAGGGGTCAGTGCATCTATTTTTGCGCTTCCAATAAATGGAATGTTGACAAAACTTGCAAAACAATAGTTCACCTGACACATAAAAGTCATGAGGGTCACGAGGGAGTCGCCATTTTTTCAGTGTTTTGAAGGGGGAGGGTGAGCGGTAATGACCGAGCGGGAGGGGTTGGGTTGCCCAGATTTGCGTCCCCCGCTGTGCATTTCCCCCAGACGTACGTTCTTCTCCCACACAAAAACAGAATTTTATTTCAAATGTAGAAATTCCGCGTTTACACTAGATTCCGCGTCAATTTGCCAATTCCGCGATTCCCTGATTGCGGAAATTATAGGGCCCTATAAAAGTGATTAATTAATCTAATTAGCCATTCTTCTGAATGCTGTACAACAGGAGAGGATATGTTTGGCATCACTGTGCTCTTGTCATGTTATGGTCTATCACAACTATATCTTTGCTTTTCTCCAAAATACCCTCACATACAAGAAAAGTGTTGTTTAGAACATTGTAGCAGGAATAGTTCAACAAAAACATCAAGAGGAGAGTTCAGTGCAAACGCAGCAAAATCCAGGAGCACAACTGTCTTCTGCTCTGATGTGTGCTTAGAACTATATCAGTTCAGGTGCATATGAGCATATCTGCAAAGTATGCAGCAAATAATCAATGTTTGTCTACCAAAACCAGGTAAAATTAGACAGAAAATTAAGATTCAAGCACAAGTGTAGGAAGTGTATAAAGATTTTTTTTTTTTAGGTAGTCCATCAGATTGTTTTAGACGTTTTCCACCCAAGAAGAAACAGATCCGAGAACAGTTTGGGCATGATTCACGGGTTTTCTGAAAAGATGGAGATCTCTGTGTCCCCGAGCAAATGTCATAACCAAGTGGCTCATTAAGATTTTAGTCCAGTGGTGAGAAGTTTTTCCAGGTCTCCACTGAGTCCATTTTACCAAGTTATAAAGAATCATCAACAAATTCCACACAAACATTCAAACTGTATAACATTACCTAATCTAGTTGCTTTTCAGTTGATTAGGAAATTAAGATACTAAAAAAGTAATGAAGCCCACACAAAATAATAGATTTGACATCCCATCAAAAACTTTGAGCCATCGCTATTAATGTGTCTATCAAAGCCTTATTTGAAATGTTTTCCTCATCTTTGTCCCACGTAGTTTCTCCTGTACTCATGTCCTCTCTCCACGGTCTCCTTCTGCGCCGTCCTGCGCTCTTCACCCAAAGTCTTTGGCTTTATAGCTCAGCATCCTGCAGCAGACATGTACCACTGCTATCTGTTCCAGAGTCAGAAGTTTGTGAGTTTCCCTCTATGGTGCTAACAAAATCTGTAAGGGGACTACAGGATATAACAAATAACTTGGATGCTTTCTTGAATCTTTTCAGGCTCCTGTGCTTGTCTCTCTTATCGGTGATGCTTTTCGAGCCACAAAAAAGGAACACAATGTCAGAGCCGGGCGAGATCTCGTTGTGGAGGCACTCAGACACAAGGTTGGGCTTCTTTTTCATGCTGCAAAAAATAAAACATTCACTGCAAATTGTCGTTTTCAGTATGACCGTATTGTACTTCTTTGTTTCTTTAAGAATAAAGTGCTGCAGAGAGAGAACGAAGAGCTGAAGAGGAGGGTTGCACGACCTCATATCTATGAGGCTATGTAACAGCAGTCAGACACACCTGTGCACTGTGGATAAAAACAGGTGAAGTAATTTAGATGGTTTTATAGCTATAGATAAGAGAAAGCAGGTGAATGACAACCTACATACAAAATACTTGCAGAATAATAAAAAGATAAAACTAGATTTTAATTTGAAATTATTTCTAATAATACAAAGAATTCAAATATGAGGGTATGATCATAGTTTTCAGCCTTGGCTTTGACCCTAATGTTCATTTTTTTCATTTAGCAAAAGGTTTACGATTGTACTAGAAGGACCTAACTGAAATGCTTTCAAGGGATGTTTCTCAAATCCGTCCGCAAATAAGCATTTTAAAATATTTGATCAAAGATTTCAATGGCTTGATTTTTTTATTATATGCTCACACATGTAAGAGAACTGGGAAAAAATTAATCTGGCAATTACAAAACTAGATGGTAATATTTGCATTGATCACAGAGAGTTTTATTTTTGACATGTCTAATGTAAATACCATCAAATAAAACATACATATTTTCAAAATATGACTCATTTTACTTTTTTTGTAATTTTTTATTAGTAAAAAAATTACTAATGGCCACTCTCGGCCATCCCCTGGTGGCGCCCTTGTGCATGGAATAAGGTTTCAGGATCACCCCTGGCCATTTTTGGAGAAGCATCCCGCTGCAGCCTGCGGGAAGGCGGGGCTTGACATCAAGCCCCGCCCACATCAAGTACAGCCATATTGGAAATTCTTCTTCTTCTTTTCATTAATGGCGGATTGCAAGTAACTTTTAGGAGCATACCGCCTACTGTACACGAGTGTGTAGCAATATTTTCTCTACATTTATTAAATTCTATTTATTAATCTTGTGTCTTTAAGAAAAGTAAATAAAGCTTTCCTTACTCTATAAATATCCATTATGTTTCCTTCATTTCCTAATATTCCTTTAAGACTCCATTCTTTTCCTGTCCTTCCAACAATTCTTTTCAGATTTTCTCTTTCAGATTCATATGTTCTACAGTTCATTAATACATGTTCTACATTTTCTTTCTCTCCACATCCTTCACATTTATCATTACTTTTCTTCCCTATTAAACGTAAAGTGTAATTTAAATAGGTGTGTCCTACTCTTAATCTAGTCATAATTATTTCTTCCCTTCTGTTTCTCTCATCAATATTTCTAATTAGTACTGACTTTTGCACTTTATATAATTTTCTCCCTTATCTTCATTCCACCTTTTTTGCCATTCTTTTATTTATTTCATTTTAATACATGATTTCCCTTACCCTTTCCAGAAAGGAATTATCATCTTCATTGTCATTTCTAAAGCCCTTTTTGCTAATTTATCAGCTTTTTCATTTCCTTTAACCCCTTCGTGAGCTGGAACCCAGCAGAACCAGACATTAATACCACCTCTATATAATCTAAATAAACTATGCATAATTTCTAATACTAACTCTTTCCTATTATTTCCTTCTCCCTGGATACTTTCTAACACTTCTTTAGAGTCTGTACATATCACCACCCTGTCTGGTCGAACCTCCTCTACCCACTGTAAGCTTAATATAACTGCCATCCCATATTGGAAATGCTGACCGCTCTTGCCTATAGGCGCTGGCGAGAGAAATGGCTAAAAAAAATGTGTTATGTCACATGGTATGTCTGTCACGTGGTATGTCCTTTTTATTTTTAAATCTTTATTAAATTTTCAGATGTTAAAATAACATTAGTAACAAACAGTCTAAAATAAACAGCAATAAGGAATTATTATGAAGATGTATTTATCTATCCTCAAACCCTATGAAAAACAAATGTCATAAAATGTAAATTAAATTAGTAGTTTAGAGACAAATGTAAATTACATTGAGGACACATTTATTTATCCAATAATTGTCATACACGGTGGTGTCGTTAGGGCTGTTGCAGTAGATTCTGGACAGATTCCCAGTCCATCGCAGATTAAGAAAAAATCTATCCATCAAATTTCTGACCCGCTTAATCCCTCATGGGGTCGCGGGGGTTGCTCGTGCCTATCTCCAGCGTTGATTAAGAAAAGCAATATAACCAAATACTTGCTGGTGCGGAAGTTCAAATAATAATATAATATCAGTAGACCCCGCATTGGCTGTCGCGGCGCAGGAATTACGGCCGCCATATTGGGGCGGTCGACCTGCTACTCAAACATGCTGAATCAAGCTGAACACACTAATGATGCCTCAGCACTGTGCGGCGTATTTTTGTTTAAATTTACAGACTATTTACGTCACGGCTCGAGGGATAACTTTTCACAATTAAGATGAAAACATATCTTTACATATATCTTTATATATTCCCTGCCCTGTTTACGTCAGCATTTCCAATATGGCTGTCCTTGATGTGGGCAAGCCCCGCCTTCCCGCAGGCTGCAGCGGGATGTACTTGGCACTTTGTTGTGTATGTATATGTCTGAGGTCTAAGTTTTAAAACTTCCAGGTGATTTTTTTTTTTTTTACAAACTAACTCGAGTGCTTCACACCAAGCCTAGAACACACCGGAGCCCTGGATAAACGGAGTTTGTCTCTCCACACCAATTGCTCTGCTCCTCCTGTGACTCGGTTCTAACTTTCCGGGACAAAATGGCCCACTGTCATCAGTCTGTAAACAGCTTGTAGTTTGGGAGGACTGCTCCCTGCTCCGGCGGCCGCCGCCATGGGGCTGCGGTGTTCTCGGAGCGGCAGCAGCTTTTCTCTTCACCCAGAGAGACGGACAGAGGGCCGGTTCACAGAGCACACAGAGTCCGATAACGACTCTCTGGACGGGCTCGACAGGCGAGACGATATCGCCCAGTTTCCATACGTAGAGTTCACCGGCAGAGACAGCATAACCTGCCCCACCTGCCAGGGCACCGGCCGGATACCTTCAGGTGAGTGGGGAATCAAAAAAACTCGCCAGGAGTTATTTGAACACACCCTGACTTTGTTCCTTTTTCTACAGAAATGTTACTTTCCATAACTGCTGACATTGCCTGTATTGTTCCCCTCATTAGAACAAGTGAATGAGCTGGTGGCGCTGATCCCCTACAGCGACCAAAGGCTGCAGCCGCAAAGGACGTGAGTGAACAGCTTCCTCTGGGCTTTCGATATGATAGGAATGCTGAATTCAATGTTGCATTCATTAAATATGGCATTTTGGATCGCTTCTGCATTTGACAGTTTTCCCTTTTGACCGAATTGTCCCATACAACTTTTCCCTTTCCAACATGATACTGGTGTTACATCTTGGAGTAATGACCAATATCGGTAACAATTATTCTTTTATTACTTATTCCTATATCTAAAATTCAAAAGAAGGTATAAACAAGTGATATTACTAATTTTTTATTAGTGATATTTACTGATCATAGAGATGTACCGATCCAATACTGGAATAGGATATAGGCACCGATATTGACTCATCGGTTCAGTTGGAAATCGAATAATTTCTTCTTCTTTTTTTTTTATCAATATCATACACAACAATAGAGTTACAGTGATCTTTGCAAGTTTAAGGCACCTGCTATATTCAATATTTCATTTTAAAATATGAGTTTGCAGTGCACTCTAAAAGGAATTATTATTTATTCCTTTTATCTGTACTAGGGATGGAACGGTTTATGAAAATCGTACGAACCGTTCGGTTCGACTGTCTCGGTTCGATTCGCGTGTGTTGCGTTCGGTTCATGCGCTGCTCCTTTTTCTCATAGGCGAAGTGATTACACTCCAGAGTAGAAGGTGGTGGTACTGCGACCAAAGCCAACCACCACTGGTAAACAAGAAGAAGCGAAGCAGAGTAGCCGGGTGTAGCAGTAAAAAATCAGTTGTTGTGGAGAATTGTGTGGGTATGGCAGGTGGGAAAGAACAGGAGATGGAAGACGCGCCAGCAGCACTTTATAGGTCTGCTTTATGGGACCACTTTACATTTAGAGTGACCTACGATGACGGCGGAAAGAAAGTTGTGGATAAAAGTGCAACAGTGTGCAAGCATTGTGCAAAACGTTTTGTTTGTATGCTAACAGCAACACGACCAACATGTCAGGCCAACAATCAACATATACCGAACCGAAAACCGTGACCACGAAACCGTGAACCGAACCGAACCGTGGATTTTGCAAACCGTTCCACCCCTAATCTGTACAATGTACACTTCATTTGTTTTTAAATAAGATGGGTTACATTTATATCAGTGTTAATCTGTTACAATAGTTTTGACAATATTTATGTCAAACTTGATTCCCTCATTCACATGCTAAGATATTCGGTTAATTTAAGAGCAGAAGCTGATTGGCATCAGCTGAGAAGCTCAAAAAAGCTATTGGAACGGATCAGAAAATATCAGATGGATGCTTCTCTATTTATTAACCAATGGGTTACATTAACTAAAGCATAAGTATATTCTGCAATTGAAAAAAAATATAAATGATAAATTAAAGGATGGGAAAGTTGTACATGTCATGTTTTCACACACAACTGTTTTGTTAGTAGAAACGCACCTCAGTAATGGAAAATCCTTTTATTAGCAGTACTTGGTTTGATATGTGGGATTTAATCAGATTTATGTGTGTTGCAGGAAACTGTATGTTGTCCTTTCGGTGGTGCTCTGTCTACTGGCCTCTTCGCTTGTTGCCTTCTTCCTCTTCCCCCGCTCCGTGGTGGTGGTGGATGCTGGAGTTCGCACAGTGACCGTGCGCTTTAATCACTCCAGTGCCAAAGTCCTAATGAACATGACGGTAGGTTTCCTCCTATAAGCCTATGTTTAAACAACTGAGCAGTTGTTGTGTTGTTGACCAATCCTGTAGCCAGTGTTGTGCAGTTACACAGTTGAAAGTATCTCTGTTAATTTCAATTCAGTTCAGTTTATTTATATAGCGCCAAATTCACAACACATGTCTTCTCAAGGCACTTTACAATTTAACCAGATCATACAGTCAAATTGATACAAAGTTTTCTATCTAAGGAAAACCAGTTGATTGCATTGACTCAAATACAATCCCTTTTAGTAGTTTAAATAAATTTCAGAGCTGTTTTCAGCATCAAATAGCTTTTCAGTTGTGAAGCTATGTTTGTGGCCAAGTACCGAGGTAGTGTAGCCTGACAAACCAGACAAAATGTAGGGCTGGGTATTGTTCAAAAATTTTCAGTTCCGGTACCGATACCGGTTCCTGAACGATACTTTTTTCGATACCAGTTTTGTTTTATAATATCAATTTGAGGAAAAAGAAAATTACACAACATAAAAAAGTACAAATCTTGAGTTTTATTTCAAGCTCTGATTTTTCCATTTACATTTTTCCTCTTGTATAAAAAAAAAAAAAAATCAGTGTCTAATATTCACTGTTACATTGTGAGGACCTTTTTACTTAGCAGTTTTCCTTTAGAAAAATTACCATGTCTGACAAACAAACCAGTTGAATGGGATCCTATTGACAGTGCACGGCTGGTATGTGGGGGTCTGAGCGGCTCCGACAGAAATATTGGAAGGCAGGATGAACTGACTGCACTGATTAAGTTTTCAGGTGGATTTTCCCACTGATCACTGCAAATATAGCTGCAAGGCAAATAAAGGATAGAGTAGCTCCGCCCAACGCGTGTCAGAGCCAATTTTCGACCACCCGTCAGAAGCTGGTACAAGCAGCAAAAAGGAAGCAGCAGACGCGATTTTGCTGCTCCTGCTGTGTCCAGTTTGAAAGCAGCATGATTCACTCTGCTCTGGCTTTGCTCTGCCCACGGGCTGCTGAGAGGAGGATGGTCGCGCTGGCTGCGGTCCGCTCTTCTTGCAGTCAAACACCAAGCAACTTTCTGCTCTTAAATTATTTCCGTGCATGATGTATTGCATTGCGCACTATTGGCATCAGTGTTAATAAAGTGAAGCCGCACTTTTGACCTGGGGGGGCATTTTAAAGGGGTTCCATGACGCTCGCAACCAGTTCACAACAGATACACATGAACCCTGGCTGTAGGCGTGACCACCTGAGTATTTTTCCTGGATGACGCAATCACGTTAAGTGTTAAAGCCAATCACCGAAACTTGGTACCGAAAGACGAGGCATGTTTCGATACTCTGTAGAACCGAAGCATTTCGGTCGGTACCATAAAAGAACCGAAGTTCGGTACCCAGCCCTAACTAAACGTGAGATAAAATGTGTAATTTAGCCTGGACCCGATGAATGAGACATCGGAAGATTGTTGATGAGAACAACCCGTTATTTTTCAAACCATGTCTGTGCCTATTGGCCAACCCTCTGACCAATGAGCACAACTGACTATAATGTAGTAAGCGTGACAGAAAGCTTTCTCAAGCACAACGCTTGAGAAAGCAGCTTTTTCGTCCCACCCTTAAAACCCCGACCACTTTGCATCCAGAAATTCAAAGCACATCACTGCGTTGGGATTTACCCGCCAGTTCTAGGGCCTGGGGCATTGATCGAGGCTAGACCAAACTTGTTTTTATAATGATTGCAACATGCTCTGATCTAAGAGTCCATTCACCTCTTCCTGTTGATGTGGGGGAGAAAATGACTCGGCGAATAGAGTTGCAGAGATGAGACTTTGGTGGCAGATGTTTTTTTAGAGTTAAACAGAAGTTTATGCAGAGTCAAACACCTTTAACTTTAATATAAGATGGGACCTCCCAGCTGTGCATTTGAGGAGGCAATTTTGTTTTTGTTTATTTATATTAATAACCAGTCTTTTGAATTGTTGGTTGGTCTGCCCTTTAATTCCAGGTATCCCATAACTTAAAATGGTAACAACCAAAGTAAAACAAACATGCATAGCAAAGAGTAAGATCAGAACTGTTATTGTAGAGCAAAGCCAAACTTTTAAACCTCTTAAGGTTTAATAGACAGAGTTTGTTTATTTAGTGATTTTAGCATTTATAGCATTACTAAGAAAGGAGCCTATTTTGAGAATAACCAGGTCCTTCTATTTATATTTGAACATTAAACTTTCCAAGTTTCCAGCTAGAAAAACGGTGAATAAAGCCCCTAAAGCTGTGGTTATCAGGACCCTCTTTCCTTTATCTTTTAGATGTGCCTCTGCTTTAACACACCTGAATTAAATGAAGGTATTCCCTCCTCAGCAGCTATCAAGTAATGCAGAGGTCTGTTTACCAACCATTGAGTCAAGTCAGGCAGAGACACACCAGGACCAAGGTCAGAGAGCCCTGCTCTAAAGTAAAAGTTAATTCTCTGGAAGTCGGCGCCCCAGTTCAGCATCCAGTGTGGCCGCCATGTTCTAAAGCCAGCTGTTCTGACAGCTTTTATCTCATCGACACCATAATTATGCCATCAGTTTGTGCACATGTCCCTTTTGTGCCTAAAAGCTTGAAACAGAGAGGACCTCAATTTCATCTTTAGTTGGTAGAATCAGTTAAAATTTCAACAGTTTGCAAATCTGTCTTGACTGAGACTCTTAACTCTGAGATGTCTTAAATCTTTCCAGCTTGTTTCTTGATGTTGAGACCTAAAAAAATAAAAAGCAGCAACTTTCCTGTCCTCTGTTGAGCTTTCCTAGTAGCTGCTGAAAGTCTTGCTTCTCTCAAATCTCTGACCAGCTTTTCACTGTTCGCTGCGGATTAGTTTAGATTTCTTTTGATTTTGGCTGCCAGATAACTTTTTGGAACATCAATGATCATAATGTTAATCACTCATGATGTTAGAATGTGTCCTTAAAGGATATTTCTAAAACCTTTTTTTTTTTTTCTGGCATTTATAAAGTTAATCCTGATGGGTTTTATTTCCTTTCTAGAGCACGCTGAATTTCAGCAACCCAAACTTCTTCTCCGTGCTTGTGCAGAGCGTGAGCTGCCAGGTCCTCTACATGAAGACAGTGATTGGGACTCAGCAGCTGGACAACGCCACCACCATCCAGCCTCTCAGTCACAGCCAGGTGTGTGAATACGTTAAAAAATGGGCAACTGTCTCAGGAATGCATTTACATTTTCTCTAGGATTTTTTTGCAGTGCTGATTCACAATGGAAAGTGTCAGAAAGCACTTTACAACCAGACAATTTAAGTTCAGAAATATTTTACACAGGCAGAATCCAAGTCATCTACATGCATTCCAAATCATTCCAGTTCATTATTTCAGTTGGGTAAAACATTTTCAGTCTAATTAAACCCAGAAGGTTGCACTAAGTCATTGACTTGCAACAACCGCACCTGAAAACAAGCAGAGGGGAGGAGGCAATTGTTTGCTTAAAGTTGTTAATCTTCCCTCGTACTCGGCATGCTACACGCATGCAACAGGGGGACATTACCATTATTATTGCTTAAATAACTGGAATCTGTACGCATCGTACCCGGTGGTATGTTATGTTACGAAAACAAAAGGCTTTTGCAGTGGAAAACACGCTGGAGGCGTGCATGCCGAATGATCCAACTGGTCAGCATTCATCTGTCAGTGAAGTCCATGAATGTATCAAACCACTACTGGTAACTCTTCAGTGAGCCGCTCCGTTCACATATTCCCTTTCAGAATAAACACACACACCATTCTCGTCTTGCTATATATATGTAGTGTGGTCCATATGTTGACTCCCATTGATTTTTAGTCATTTTCAGCCCTAACCCTAAAATAAGTCTTAAACATTCCCAATGTATTACTAACCTGAACCATAACCTAAACTCTGTTCAAAGAACCAGCAAAATGTTCTCACTTTGGTACAAACGGTAAATCAGAAATATGGTCCTCGGTCTGTTGTCAAGATGGGAGCACGCACAAACCCTAAAGAATCAGATGAAAATAAAACACAGAAAAATATGGCAACTTTTGTTACTTTAGGGCTGTTACTAAAAGTCGGCTTCTCTGTTTTTAAAAGAGGAAGTTGGTTTATTTTGTTTGATTAAACTGCATGTTTGCAGCTTGATTTTATCTCTGCTACTGTTGTTGCACAAATGGCACAAATGCATTGCAAAGTATTTATGAGCGCAGGATTTTCTCTACTTGCACTCAAGATGTCTAATATTTGCATTCAACAATCTGCTTTCTCTCAAATGTATGCTGTTCTCCAAATCTTCCTTTCTGAATAGATATTTTCACCTCTCATTGACTTCCTTCTCCTTGTGCGCAAGCCAGTCTGTTGGAGTCAGAAACATCTTCGAAACCCGCTGGCTCTGCTTGTCGATTTCTTTTCTCTCAGACTGGGGTCCGATTGTCGCATTGCAACCTTTCCAGCTAACAGAACAACTACTTTAGAAAGAGTGCGCATCTACTGAAAGAGTTTCTTCTACTGAGTTTGTCTGTTACTGCTTACTGATAATAAAAATTGCTTTTCATATTTTATTTCTTTTAACCTTATTGTGTGCTATTGTTTTTGAAATGCTTAAGCTAGATGTCAGCCATCGCAGTAATGCCAGAAAAAATATTGCCTTTATATGTATTTTTTCAGTCGACCGCCCCGACTTGCACAAAGTAGCCCATTCATCTGCTTGGCTTTTATTTATTTCTTCAAGTCAGGAACAATGGTACATTTATTTTTAACCCTTTTTCTCAAACAATGCAGGTCAGGTTTGGAAACTGAACATTTATACTTAATATGTTAAAATCAGGCAAACAGATCAGAAGTAAACCACAACATTTAATTCTGATCAGTCCTGAATCTGTACTTCAAATGTTTGGTTTTAAATGTTCTGGGATTCAAGACACAAAATCCCAGTACATTTCAAACCAAACAAGAACCTTAGACAGAGGTGGTGCATCCTAAGGACAAAACCCCCAAACTAAGATGAGTTGGGTGGTGCGTGCAGTTAAATGCAGTGAGGAATGCTTTGATCTTTATATTGGAGAAACCAAAAAAACTCTCGACACATGACGCATGGCTCAACACAGGCGAGCTATCTCCTCTGGACAAGATTGTCCACCTACACCTTAAGGACAAAGAACCAGAATGTTCACATTTTGGACAAAGAGGACAGGTGGTTTGAAAGGGGTGTGAAGGAATTCATCTATTGTAAAAGAGAAAAACTAACCTTAAACAGAGTGGATGGACTCCCCTTTACAGAGACATGGGTGAGTTTCGGGTTTTGCAGGCCAACAACGACCTCAACAACTTCCCATTACTAAGGGGTGGACCTGTTTTCGGTTCAATCTGCATGATTTCTAAGCCATAACAAGGCTTTTATTGGGCTACTCTTTAAGCCTCTTTAAGCACTCAATGCTAATTTGGACATTTTGAATTGAGAAAGCTTTCTGGATCGGAAGCGAAACATCTGCAGACTTGAAAAAAAAAAGTTAAGTGGTTCGTTTATCAAGTTTTTCAGAACATGTGATCAGTTATTCTCTCTAATCAGGTCACCGTGTCAAACTGCTGTGCAAATTTTAAATCTCACTCCATATTTTCCTTTGGGTTTTCTTGCCCAACTTTTTTTTCTCAGTTTCTAATGTAAAACACTGTAAAATATCCTTTACAGCAGGGGTTTTCAATGTTTTCCAGGCCAAGGACCCCCAAACTGATGGTGAGATAGAGTGGGGACCCCCTATATATTGTATGAAATTGTCAAACCTGTCCTATAGTAACCCTATTACAAATGGAGTCATGTAACCAAAGTAATTTTGGGGATTATTAAAGTATTTCTGATTCTGATTCCTGGTTGATGGGACAGGTGTTGTGAATGAAACGGTGCCCAGCTTGAAAGAGCTCCTGTGTGTCGCCGAATGTGTGCATTGATGACTGAAAGACATCTTCTGCCTCCATTTATCTGTTTACTACAGTCTGTTGAATTCATGTTTGTGTTTAAGGCATTTCAATTAGTGGAAAAAATTGCAGGGGGAATGTAAAAAAAAAAAAAAAAAAAAGTCTTATCAACCAAAATTTTTGAAACCCCCATGCAGTACCTCTGTGGACCCCTAGGGGTCGCGGACCCGCTGTTGAAGACCTCCGCTTTACAGTTTAGCAGTGTTGTGCCTGAACGCGTTCATTGAACGAAAGTTCATGAACTCGTTCATATTTTGGGCGAACGTGAACTGAACGTACTGCATTACTGCCTGATGAACGTTATTGTGAACTCGTTCATTCTGGTGTCTGTGATCGGCACGCTCTCTCAGTTCAACTTCGTTCAATAGGTTGCCAGATTTCTATAGAGCCCTCCAGGCGAAACCCCGGCTAAATCACACCGTAAGCAGGCCTTAATATGTAGCGGGAAAAACACCCAATCTGGCAACACCAGCTACCAGTGTCGTAGCCTACAGCCGCGTGCGTCATCAAAACAAAATGCAGCGTGAAAGCCACAGCAGCATGGAGGCGACCGTGGATGCGACAAAGCAGCAGTATGATCACTTTAAACAGTTTTATGACCAGGTGGTCGGTGAGGATGATGGCAACAATCTTACATTTCTCTGCAAACTTTGCCCGCCGGCTTTCAGTAAAAAAATCCGCACTTGTATTCTGGTGTAATTTTCCAGGATTCCAGTATTCCTTTTTAGTATGTACTGAAATGAAATTTCAAATGGAAAAAATAATTAAAATAAAAATAAAAAACATTTGCACCTTAAAGACTACTTTCCTGTTTTTCTTTTAATAATTCCTCATAAAAAAGACCATTCAAGCAGCACATTTTTCCTGATGTTTTTGAGAATATACTGTAGGGGTGAAAGCTGCAGCTGCTACTAGTGTGAAGTGAATGGACAGCAACAAAGCGTTAAAGCAACAATGGGGAAATGCTGTCCCCTCAATGCTAATGTAAACCCTGGTTGGATAAGGATTCAAAACTGGATATGAAGATGAAATCTGACGCACAGTTTCAGAGTTACAACTGATAAAATATTGCTGTCTGTGGTTCTACAGTAGGCTATGGTGTAATTGAGCAATATATGAAAAAAAAAAAAAAAAAGAACTATGAACTAGTTCATTTTTTGGAACTGTGAACTTAGTTCAAAATTTTGAATTATGAACTATGAACTGAACTAGTTCATTTTAAAATGTGTGAACTGAACTTTGAACTAGTTCACGTAGAAAGAGAACTTTCCCAACACTGCAGTTTAGGAAGTAATTCTAGTGGTATTTTCCAGTAATATTCTAGTAATCAAGTAATATTTTCTTGGTAAATGCAATAAATACTTTTATTTTTATTTTTAAGATATTAAAATGTTAAAGGTTTTTTTTTTTAATGAGATATCTCAGTTTTGTCCACCATTTTGAAGCTAGCATAAAATATTCCTTGCTTCAAATTGATTGTCATGGTTGGCATTTTGGTTGTGAGGTTTCCTTTCCCAGTTTTAACAGCTTTAAAGCCGCCAGTGTTATCTTCATCCTGCTATACATGTTTGGTGTCTAAATGTCAATATTAGGTTTGAAACAATTAATCGGATTAATTGTGATTAATCATTATTGAAATAATCTTTAGGTAACTTACTAATCGATTAATCATTAACTGGAGTATAGCTCCTCTAAAACATGTCTCTGTTTTTTTTTCTTCACAAATTGAGTTTATATTTGTGGATTTTTTTTTTATTGTTTTTATTAAAACACTATACTAATCCATAGCTTTTCAGCCTTTTTTTTCATGCCATTTATTCATACTTGTACCTTTTTACAGGTGAACTATACAGTCAGCGTGGAGATTGGAACTAGTGCACCTTATGTCTAGTAAGTGTTGCAACCAATTTCTGTTTAAATAAATTTTGCAAATCAAAATAATTGTGAATTTTTCTATGTTTCTTTCCCCCCAGTCTCTTCTGCACAATGCCCAGCATCAAGGTCCACAACATTGTCGTATTTATACAGTAAGTGTTAACTTTCAAAGAAATGTTTTAGTTATTTTGTTAAGCACTAGGGCTGAAACAATTAACCAGATTAATCCATTATTGAAATAATCATCAACCAATTTAGTAATCGATTAATAATTAACTGGAGTATAAAGACTCTAAAACATGCCTTTAGCTGACAGAGCAACCACTTAATTATACAAAAGTTGTAAAAATATAAATATTTTGCATTTAAGATAAAAAAAAAAAGAAAAATCTGTCATCATGTTCTATCCAGAACTCCTAAAGTAGAAAAGTTTTAGTTTCATCTGATCTAATTCTGTTAAAAAAAAAAAAATCTTCTTTAAGGAACCTTTTGCTATCTGCTCCATATATCCTCCAGGTACATTTATAGAATAATTTAGGAAATGTTCTATGATAGAAAAATAATTTTTTTGCAATACTTAATAAAACTTGCTGTAAACCAGCTTTCCTGATTTAATGTGTAACTTCAGTTGATTAGAATAACACCTTCAGTTATTTTTGCAACGTTATAACAATAAGTCTGTGGTTATGTTCTAGCCTGATAAACCTAAACTAAATAACACATTTAGTCTGTCCCGCATGAATGAGACATAAAAAGGTTGTTGATGAGAACAACCCGCTGTCTTTCAAACCATGTCTGTGCCTATTGGCCAATGCTGTGACCAATAAGCGCAACAGTAAGTTGGTGGGGGAGTGTAAACAAACAGCCTGTCGGTAAAACGACAAATACATACGTCTTAAAAATTAATGAGCATAGAGCCTCTTCCTGCTCACATTTCAATGAAAACCCAAAGTCTAATTCTTTCAAAACTGATTCCAAAGCAAAGAGAACTGTTCAGGAGTTGTTGCCATCTTTCTTGTCGCAGCTTTGTCGTCACGCCCTCAGAACCCCGCCCACTTTTTATCCAGAAATTCAAAGCACATCTCCTCGGTGTGCGGGTGGGGCTAATTTACTAGGCTAGTAAAGTTCATGTAATCAGACAGATTTTATGCCTCTGCTGTTTCCCAGATTACAGTGTCTCACTTTGCTTTAGTTTGAGGCTCATTCAGCATTAAAAATGTTTCTGTAGTAAAATAATTCAACCCCTTGATTTGAAAAATCTTAAGGTTAGCAGACTGCACTTCTATCCAGCTACACTTAAAGGCACAATATGCAACATTTTTCAGTTAATTAATGTGTTCCATATCGTTTTGGATGATGAAATGAGTCATTTCAGGTTGAACAAAGGTATTCTCGGCCGCCCTGGTGGTCTGTGGGGGAAATACCGCACTTGCAATTGCAGGAGCACCGACCCGCACCCACAGGCTCAGAAGTCTCGCGAGAGTCAGTCTTGCTTTACGGCGAGAACTGCTACACGCCCCCAGTTAAAAGCATTCTCGTTGCTAGCACAGTGGCGATCTTTGTGCAGTTATGCTACGTTCACGCAGCAAAAGCAGCAAAATCGCGTCTGCTGCTTCATTTTTGCTGCTTGTACCAGTTAGTTCTGACGCGCGGCTGAAGCAGCTTTGCTGCTCTGGCTGCGGTGCAAAAGTGTGTCTGACACGCGTTGGGCGGAGCTTTACTATCCTTTCTCTGCCTTGCAGCTATATTTGCTGTGATCAGTGGGAATAAAGTAGTTTTAATATGTGTTTAAGTGAGAAAATACACCTGAAAACGTAATCAGTGCCGTCAGTTCATTCAGATTATTATCCTGCCTTCAATATTTTTTCTGTCGGAGCCGCTCAGACCCCCACATACCAGCGGTGCGCCGACAGTAGGAATCTCTTCATCAGCAGCCAGAGGCGACCCGGCCAGAGGCTGCTGTATTTTCATCTAAATAATCCAAACTGCATATTCTGCCGACAGATTTCTGCATTTTAAGTTAATTTAGGTGTCAATAAACTGTTTAAGAGGAGTGATCATAGCCTCTGATCATCAGCGCTGTTTCTCTCCCTGCGTCAGATGATTAAACGCGCCTGACGCGCTGCTTCAGCTGCTCAGACGCGCTGCGACTGCTGCTCAAAACGCACCGCGGGACCTTTTGCTGCGCCTTGACGCGCGTCAACCATTGACTTTGCATGTAAACTCGCTGCTTCTGTCGCGCCAGTTGCGGTGTGAACGCAGCATTAGTCATTCGTTGCGTTCGCCTGTCTGCTAAGCTCAAAACAACCGCGCCTGGCTTGACGGAGAAACCAGGAGAACAGCTGTGCATATTTACGACAGTGCACTTTTACATTCGCCCTCTGGGGGGAGCCTCGCTGGAAAATCAACACCGGTTGCATAGTGTACCTTTAAGTGTCTAATTTTATTTGCTTTGCATCTGAGTCAGACCCTGCATTTTTCTTCTCAGGATTCAGTTTTTGATTATAATAACATGGTTTGTTTAGCTAACATTAAGGGCCGGATTTATCAAGATCCAATTTTGCGTGCAGTAATTTGCGCTCGCAAACTGGAATTTTGCGCGAGGGGCTGAACCATGGTTTGCGGGTGATTTAACAAGAGTGATTGCGTAACTGGTGGAAGGTGCAAAACTGTTGGAGACGCCCTATTTAAATGATGGTTTTGCGCGTTTTGTGGTTTGCGGCAAAGTAGTTTGTAGTCTGTACAAACTAGTGCATTAAGAAATTTAAATATTACAGTGACCCCCAACAAAAAAAAAAAAAGTAAATATATATATATATATTTATAAATTGGCAACCTTTATTCCCTAAGGTGGTATGTGCTGCAGTAAAAAGAAAAAAAAAACAAAAAAAAAAAAACAGGTGTTTTGTATTGGCCTGTGACTGTGGATGGGATCCCCGCAGCATTTGGCACGTTGCTCCACAGGCGCAGGGGGAGAACCCCGACCCCGTCGGACAGCACTTCTGAAAAAACGAGATTGGGAGATCCCAGCTCTCGCTCCAACCGTACGCTGGAATGACCCAGATGCAAAAAAGTGCAATGTTGCAAGGAGTTTTGTGATATCTGGTATTGCGTGGGTCCTCCTTGCGGCTGGCTCCAAATCCATTCGGAGTTCCCCCAACAGCTCCAAAATGGCAATGCTGGATAAACGATATGTTTTGATGATCGTTTCCTCGTTCATTGCAAAAATATTCACACGGAGTGAAAAAATGCGTTCTCTGCGTCTCCTTGCTTTATTTCCATGTCTCCTTCTTGCGACAATAACCGCTGCCATGTGTGCGCAATTACGCATACAGACCATTTGCACCTTCTTTTGAAACGTGTTAAATATAGAGTCAGATACCGTTAGCAAAATTGCGTTCAAGTTTGATAAATCACTTTGCGAGTGCTAAATTAATATATTTACATGTTCTCCTCCCACAAGACGCACTTTTGCGTGTAAACGCCCCATATTGCATATTCATTGCAGAAAAAGTACTAAATGGATCAGAGGCGCTATTTAGCACGTTTTAAAGACCAAATGCTTTTAGCACGCTGTTGATAGATCAGTTTGTACATTTTTTAGCGTGCGCAGTGAAATAGCTCACGTTTTAATACACGCAAACCTTTGATAGATCCGGCCCTAAGTGTCATTAGTTTCTTTATCAACTTTTTGATTTATTAGGTTTTCTGTTATAAGATAGATTTCATTGAATACTCTCTGGTTGTTAGTCCACATGACTTCCTCACGCCAATTTAATCATTGCTTTTAATATCACCTTGTGTGAGCAGACAAATGATATGATCAAGTCTAAAGTCCTTCATGCTTTTCTAATGTTGAGTACAAAGTCATTAAATCTAGGACTTGAAGGACTGCATGACCTGAATCCACTCTTGTCCATATTTACAGATAAATTTACTAAATCAGTGAAAGGTCTCCATTTATGATGTAATCAAGAAATTAAACTTACTTCAAATTTGATTCAAATACAGAGTAGAGTCCTACAGAACCAGGGCAGTAACTTAGCTGCAGTGGAAGAAAATCAATCTTTATAAAACCAGGGGAAAAAATCACGGAGTAGATGGGAGCACAGATCTAGAATAAGACACATTAAAAAATGTAGAAAACCAACAATCCTATTTCAACTGAGCTGCAGAACAAAAGGCTCTTTTACAGCAAATATTAGCTATGCTGTGAAATTTTGATGTAACATATGATAAATGAAGTACTTTGATAGTATAAAGATATTTAGGAAAAAATATATATCAAGATTTTTGTCTGATGTTAGGTTCAGTTGTCCTGAATTGTGGCTCTTCTGTCTCTCTTTCTAAAGCCTGTTTGTTTTTACTACTATGCAGTTACATGCAATTTTGAGCTTCATACACAAAGAGCAGATTTTTCCTTTAAAAGTTGAGGCTCTGAAGCAAGCAGAGGACATAGAAATGTGCGAGTTCAGCTTTATTCTGGGAGCTGTCTTCACGGCTACAGCTGGTTTTCTTTGGTCCACATCAGTTGATAAACTTTGTAACCTTTCTGGATGGTTGTTTGATTTTACAAACCATAACCTTTGCTTTATTGTTCTGTATCCCACAATGCTTCACAAACCTACCAACAGTCTCACTAGGAGGGTTTTTGTCCGAACCCTCAGAGCAGTTTCTGTGTTTTAGACAAAAGTAAAACCACAGGTGAAAAAAATACCCTGAAAAAATATAATGGAAATACAGGAAGAAGTTGCTTTGTTCTCAGCCAGTCAAAAACATGGAGCATTCCACGGAAAGACCTATTTAGGATAAAAAAACAATAATTGTAAAGCTGTTAAGGGCCTAGGTTTACTGACCCTCCCATGGGGAAATTGTTGAGTTAAGAAGTTTTTTGATTCATACCCCTCTGCTTTCCTGCCTGTTTTCAGAACCTCAGTGAAAACCTCATACATGGTGCGGACATCCCAGAACAGCCTTGAGGCATACCGCTACATAGACTGTGGCTCCAATACTTCTTACCCCTGGACTCAGCAGCAGCACAAGCACGTCACTGCAAGCCCCTCTCTGCTGTAAGGGCGGGCAGAGGGGTTCCGCGAAGGCAGGAAAATCAACTCTAGATCCAGAAATCTGCAACCAAAAAATCCCTTTAAAAGAAGCGGTTTGGTTGTTCTGTTCTGAATGGCCAAGTGAACATATTATTTCATTTCTGATAAATATTAATTGCTTTTAGTGCCTTCTTCTATGTCTTGGGTGGGAGTTTTCTCTTTCTACACTTTCAGTTAAGCTAAGTATCACAAATGCCAGTCCAGAAAGAGGTTTTGTTCATTCAGAGGCACAGGGGCTCACATGATGACAGCGGAGCGAAAAACTCAGTGATTCACTTCCAGCCCGTCTCCTCATTTAGGTACAACAGAAAGCTCTTTTCTTTAGTGGAAAATTGTCGAAGTTCTCAGACAGATACCTAAAAGTTTTTGTGGAAGGAATTTGCACTGCTGATGTTGTAAACTTATTTCCTAACACTGTGTTGAATGATTCCTGCTGACTTCTTTCTTCAGGAATAGTTAATAAAAAAAAAGAAAAAAAAAAAACGGGAATTGATGTTTGTACTTGTCCTTGCTTTCCAATTGAAAACGGCTGTTGAATAATTTTAACTACCGTAATGTAATTGACCTCTGTATATCCGTGCACCTTGATTTTTATAGATTCAGAGAGCTAGTGTTTATGGACTTTTGTTTAAACATAAAATGTATATAAAGGTTCTTGATCAGTGATTTTCCAGAAAAACACAAATTTGTTTTTTTTTTTTTGTTTTTCACATTTATTTTTCTCTGTCCTTCAATTATACGGGTGCCTGGAAATTGTTTCTCACATGTTAGCTCATTTTTCCATTTGGTTTTCAAACTGAAGACACATATGGTCAGCAATAAGACTATTACACTTTTTTTAAGGGGCTTTTGTCAATTGCTGAAATCTGGTGATTGTTGTAAGGGAGGAATTTTTCATTTTTTTGGAATGTTATTTAATGAAAAGCTTGAAAGGAATGGTGAATAAATTAAAGCTCAACTGTTTTCCAAAGTGTTTTGATGTATTATTACAGCCTATACCTCCTAAATGATGCTTTATGAGGAAAAAAGAAATTTCACTGTTTCACTTTTGCAAAAGGTGGAAATATATTTAGAATCCTCAAAATACACAGTCTGTAGTTAAAATCTGAAATTCTAAATAGTAGTAGATGTGCATAAATGCCATCCATCCAGTTTCTCCCGCTTACTCCTTGTCAGGGTCGCAGTTTGGCCGTGCCTATCTCCAGCTTTCAATGGGCGGGAGGCAGAAAACACCCTAAAGAGGTGGCCAGTCTGACGCAGGGCAACACATAAATGATCTCAGAATAAAAAATGATTAGGGTATGTCCCGCTATGGACTGGCAACCTGTCCAGGGTGTACCCTGCCTCTCAGCCATTGACAGCTGGAGATAGGCACCAGCACCCCTCGCAACCCCAATTTGGACAAGCGTGTCAGATGATGGATGGATGGGGTATGTCCTTTACTTGAAACATAAATATGGTGTCTATTGGCTATAGGAAGGCTCAGCAAATGAAAGCAAATCCATTTCAAAAAAATTTCAGCTTTATTTTACTCAAAATTTAACTTTATATGAAGAAAACAGTTCTGCATTTCTGCTCTAGCATTAAATAAACAGCTAACTTAATCCAGTTGTCATTGACATGACACTGAAAAATTCTACCTTTTTCCTCTTTCAACATAAATTGATCACTATAAAAGAGAACATATGTGGTTGAAATCATTGCCATTTTGTGAAAGTATTGTCTGACTCCTCAACATAGTAACCCACCATTCATAAATCTGCAAAATATACAGCAAGATTCTGCTGAGAAAAGCTGTCAGATCATAACGAGGTGTTTGGATGGGCTAGATAAGTTTCTAAATGTCAAGAATCTCCCTTACAAATGCTTCTTTACCACCGGTGCAGAGCTTGATCCATGTTGGCATCAGATGGATATAAAGGTCCATTGTCCTTGTAGAAAGAAAAACGTCAAATACCTAGGGGAAATCCTGTAGGATGCAAAAGTCTCGAAAGAAGACAGCTAGTTCAAATATATTTCCCCAAAGAATTCTTGTTTCTGATCAATTTGGAAATCTAAAAAAATCACTTGTCCAGGGAACAAAAGTTCAGTTCTGTCAACCAGCTTATTTTGAACATAGACTAGTTTCATGGTACAATGCATGTTTTACAGTTCTGCCAAAGGACACAAGAAAGAATAAAGAGAGGGTTTGTCCTTCTCAAACAACTTTTCCATGGAACTGTTCTGATTTGCTGTTCTGTCAGAGGTGATATAGTTTATAGTAAAATTTTGGTTTCTGGTCAAGATGCTCTAGAATTTAATTCTGCTTTGAATCTGTTAGTTCTCCAAACAATTGACATGAATAGTTCATTATCAGTCCAGATATTATTGATATATGTGGAAATTGATAAATGTGGAAATTACAAAGGCTTTGATAAAGTATCTTAACATTTATTAGTGTAATAAGTGAAGTATTTGTTAATAAAAGCCTCTAGAATGTATAAAGTGTTGGCTAATTGTAAACAATAATCCAATAAAATGTAACCATCACCTATTGCACTCAAAATAACTGGTTAATCTGCAGTGATGATGCATTCAGGGGCTGACTTGCAGTCTGTTTACTGTGGAAACATCCGGCACCACTTCCAGTCTAGGGTTTTCAGTGTGCCTGGTTGTATTCATCTAAAATGTTACACTGAGCGCATCTAAAAGCCAATAATAGCTAACAAAGATCATCACATCTGAGTGAGACCTTCCCTGAGCACTTGGGCAAAAAAGAAAGTATCAGCAAGGCTGAAGATTGGGAATGAACCTGAGTCGACAGTTATTTCAGAAACTACACTCTGCAAAAAGTCAGCTTAAACGTATCTGTATCCCTCAGCAGTTAACAGTGATGGATCAAAGAAACAAATAAGCCTGAATCACCATAGAATAGTAGAAATGACCATAGAGTTGCAGTAAACAGCAATGTTGGCCACGTTACTTAAAGAATAACTGATCATAGATACTAGTTATTAGTGAGTTCACTGAACTACCATATTAACTAATTAATGGGAAAACATGCACTTTAATTTTTATGATCTAAAATGTTTGAACTGGATGACATTCCTGTTGTTTAAGCTTTTACTGGCTGTTCAGTTATCAAGTACAACATTTTTGATATAAGTCATTTTTTTCTATTCTTGTTTTTGACACATTTATGCTAATAATTTTTGCACGGTCACCTGAATTTTAGACAATAAAGATTCATTTTTTGATTATAATAAATAAATTTTTACTCTGTTTGGGGACATACCCAATCCTGGATGACATAAGTCTAGGTAGTAACACTACAATTTGAAAATAGTTGTTCTTGTAGAGGATTATTTATAACATTCTTCACAATGTTTGTCTCCATTTAAAATGACCTTTAAAGTCTGAAGTCTTTTCAAATTCTAACCTTTCAATTTAAAGTCTCAAACAAGTTGTGCCAGAATGACAGCTCCATCTGAAACAATGGCCTACTTAAACTTTTTGGATCAAATATTGTGACTTTCAGTGTGTTTTTTTTTATTTATGTTTTTAATGGGAAATGCTCAAAAATATTTTTTCTTTGTTGATATAAATCAGATATGAAAACAAAAGTAAAAATACTTTTGAAAATACTTTCTTTTGTTTCTTAGTATTGCACTGGTACGAAACGTAGCTTTTAGATCTACAAGAAGTGGATGTATTCTTGATTTTTCTCAGTTGTGTTTTTTTTCTAATCAGAAATTTCCTTCTTAAACTATTTGAGATTACTCAGGAAAGATCCCTCCCAAAAACAATCCCCAACAACCACTAGAGGGCACTTTTAACAAAGAAAAATTCCAAAAAAACATAATCGCAAACCAAAGATACTACCTATTTCAAAGCTAATAAAGGCTCAAGTCTGAGCTTTCAAGATTTCTTTTGTTTTTGTTAAAACGTTCACAAAACAAAAACTGGTTTCTGTTTTAAACTGTATTGAATCATGTCTTGATGACTGAGAATCTTTCCCAACAGATAATTACTCGCCAAGATATTCCTGCTCTGATTTCTTGACCCCCCCCTAAAAAAAAAAAAAAAAAGATTAATAAACCCAAACTGTGTTGGACACAATTGAACACAGTCCACCTAAGTCAATACTCTATAAAACAGGTGTGTAAGAATCCAGTCTTAAATATAAAGCGCTGGCCTATGGTCATATGTTTACTTTTCTTTTCTTTCAGGAGTTGCTTGTATTTTTCTACAAGCCATATATCTGATCAATATGAAAATATTTGCTCTATTTGCAAACTGAGTGACATCACCCTGAGGTATACTGCAACCCGCAGAGTAAAAATTATATGGCAGCAATTCTCTTCTTCAAGCTGGATACAAAGTTGGTCAGAGTTGATGGGACAATTATTAACATTAAATATGTTATTTCTTTCAGACACAGCTTTCTTATTTACCCCTAATTTGCCACTATAAAGGTTTATGTAGTAGTAGAGTAATAGTTGTATTGTTAATGGATTCTTCCTTCTTAACTGTGGATCTCTGCAGCTCCCCCAAGTTACAAGAAGCCTTGTGGTTGCAGCTTGCTCTCCTTGTCCACTTTAAGAGAGCAGCTATTTCTTAGTAGGTATCCTGTTATTTCACACTTCTCCTGGTTGCTTCACACTCAGCTGGAAACCGCCCCAGTGCATGACGAAGGTCGTGGTTTGATGAGGGCCAACAAGACAACATCATCCACAAAGAGCAGAGATGATATCCTGGGGTACCCAAACCGGACACCCTCTGGTCCCTGGCTACGCCTAGAAATTCTGGCCATAAATATAATGAACAGAACTGGTGACAAAGGGCAGCCCTGGCGGAGGCCAATATGCCCCGGGAACAGGTCTGACTGCTGGCTCTAGGTCCCCAGCCTCTGCCTCCTCTTTGGAAGACGTTACGATGGGATTGAGGAGTTCTCAAAGTACTCCTTCCACCACGCGAAAACATCCCCAGTCGAGGTCAGCAGCTCCCCACCCACACCGTAAACAGTGTTGGAGAAGCAATCCCCTCCTAAGGCGACAAAGAGTTTTCCAGAACACTTTCAAGGCCTACAATAGTCCCCCTCCATGGCCTCTGCGAACTCCTCTCAGACCCGAGTTTGGCCTGCTGGTACCTCTCATCTGACTCCGGAGTCCCACCAGCTAAAAAGGCCAGCTAGGCCTCCTTCTTCAGCTTGACGGCATCCCTTACTTCCGGGTGCCACCACCGGGTTCGGGGATTGCCGCCACAACAGGCACCAGAGACCTGGTGTTGACATCTCAGACTTAAGAATATTTTTGTTAGTGTACTTTACTTCAGTATTTATCTCTCTGAGGAGTAAGTACTTTTACTGAATACAGATACCAGAACTTGCTACTGCTTAGTTTCTCCAAGCAGGTTTGTAAAATCGATATTGATAATAACATAAGAGCTGAATATCAACAAAATGGAGGAAAAATCAAAAGCATAAAGATAATATGTTCAGTAGGAGAAGTTAGTTTATAGAAAAATAGTCACAGGGACATGGAAAAAAAACAGGGCCTGGGAAAGATTTCAGATTATTAATGACATTTTGAGAGTGAAGATGTTCCCAATCTCTTCACCCTTTATCAGATTTCAAATTTACATATTCATTATGTTTCAATATCTATTTAAAGTTTAATGCATTTGCAACTGTATGTTACTAATATCAGGCTCTTAAAGTATTCAGCAGCTAATTAACTACACATTAAAGACTAGAGAGTATCTTTTTTAATGGTAGTTCTACAAATGCAGAGCAACAAAAGAAAATCATTTCACCTATTTTCTGTTCTATGAACAGAAAGTAGGTGAAATGATTTTATAGGAATAAAATCTTCGTCTTATAAATGTTTTTATAAGAATGAAGTTTTAGAAAGTTTTTTTTTTTTTTTTACCTTTCAGGGAAAAAAAAACGTAATTAGAAATTTGTACTTAAGTACAACGTACAACCAATCC